CCTAGTGAGTTCTCTAATGAACGTGGATATTAAGGAGCTGTCACCCTTCACACTCCTCAGCATGGGATAGACAACTAGCTGTCACTCTGATCATTGTTGGGCAAACAAAGACACACACACACACCAGAGATATCCGTCATTGCTCAAAGTCACCCCTATCTCTCGGGGTGAGGCCGACTGTGTGCCACGCCGATGAGAGAGAGTTTATGAAGACATCTGTCTGGTGTTTCATTAGAGCTGACTCTCATGTCATGTGGATATTTAAGGCCCACGGTCACGACCAACGTCCGCTGTCGTTGTCCCTCAGCGTATCGCAGTCATACGGGGACAAAGATAGACAAAAAGTGACCGGAAGCTGTGGGACGTGAGGACACTCGAAGAGATGGTTTAACTTTGTTTTGCAGAAAGCTGAGTAGAAATAACAAGGGCATGTTGTTGTCTTTTTAAACTCCAATCCCCACCTTGTCGCAATCTATATGCCATAATCTTTTCTATCACTTGTCCCTTATTTAATCTCGGCATCTCAGAGAGATCAAAGTGTGTTTTCCACGAGAGACTTGAAACACAATAAATCACTTACAGGCTCAAACAGGCAGCCAACAATATATACAATAAAGGAAGGAGAAAACAAAAGAAATCCTACACTCAACTAAATATACAGTACAATGAGATATCATTATTTTAAGATCACCCAGTGGGAAAAGAATTTCTAATTTCAAAGAGCTTTGCAGCAGGCTGCTCCATTTTAAGGAGCAAAGAGAAAGTACTCTCACCAAGATCAGAAACTTTGAGGTGTTATTAAAAGCGAACCAGCAAGGTACAAAATTATAGGATTATAATAGAATATAGGATTTAAAAGACATGAGGTGTGAGGTACAGAGCGTCACAAGTAGAGCCTTGTCAGGCATTGTCAGGCAATTATTGAGAAGAGAAAGAGAACAGAGTGACACCAGACTGGTTACCATGTATCTATTCATGTAGTCAACTGAAATTATGTTAAAAGTCAAAATCCCTTAAAGAGAAAGGGAAAAAGAAAGTTAGACATGGAGATCAGATAACTAATCTTGAGGAGGACTGCTCAGCCTATGACTTGTATAATGTCTTCTTCTTGTCCCTGATGATGTAATCATGGTTATCTCGGAGACCACAAATGTATAACAAACAGCGATTTTATAATCAATCCGTGTGAGTGACAGATATCTCTATACAGATCTCTTGATAATGGATAACACCAATGAGTATCGACACCCGAGCGCAGGGATTTTCTCTCATCAATCAGAAAATCAAGAGAAGTTAAAACAGAGGCGATTATGGTAATAGATTACTTTTCACCACTGTCAGTCAGCGTGTTATCACTTGGTCGTGTGACTTCATGTTTACTCTTCTTGGTTAATTTCACACATCACAAAGTCAGTGTGAACAGGAATGAAACCAGAACGAGACAATCATATTATATATTTTTCCCTATGTCCGGATTAAATGAACCAATATACAGCTGTGAAAGCAACATAAAAGTTAGGACAAATCTGCTGCACTGATTTCAAACATTTCTTTTATTTATTGGCTGGCTCTGACAGACAATTGTATCTGTATCCTATGTCTTGTTTTTAGGTACGGTTCTTGTTGGTGATGAAAGAGGAGACAGACAATAGAGCATGTGCAAACAAAACAGTGGTCTATGTCAGAGACACAGAGTGTAATGTGTTCCCTGAGGGGCATTAGGATCTAAACGTTAACTGTCACTGTGTGTTTTGAGAGCGGCGCCAGCGCACAAGGGAGAGAAGCACAGTAAGAGAGAACTAACCAAGAGATAATGAGTTTGATTTGTGACTTCTTCAGTCCCATCAGCCCCTTCTGCCCAAGACGCCCGTCCCTCAGGCTTCTCAGGAAACGGCAAACAAACAGCAGACAGTAAACAAAACCAAAGCTACTTCAAACATCCGAGTCCCCACGCTGATGAAGAGATGCGGCAGGTCTCCATCCTGTCATCTACTGTTAGTTTGGCCATTCATCAAAACGTCAACAGCAGGCGGGTGGAAACGCAACACAGAGGCCTGTTTGGCTACAGTGTGCTGTTTCTCAAAGTACAATATGTCAGTGTGTATACAAGTGCTACAGCAGCCCATCATCCTGTAATTACCAGCTGTGTGATTTGTACCCGTCGAAGGGCAAGTGAGTGTGAACCTATTCAATAACTCAATGACTGTATTTGGTGGGCTGAATTAGATTTATATCCCATTAAAGGCAGAAGAGTCGCATCAGTGAAAGTGACCACTTCTCCTCATCCCTATTCATCTCTCTTGGTACTGCTTCACATCACAAATATCAATCAGTCCCAAAAGGGCGCAGTGATTCAGAATTGCGCTCTGCTGCAGCGTAAAGGTGTAATGACAGAATCTTATCATGGCGATGCAGGATACAGGCTTTATGGTTCAACGCAGCTACAATATTTGTAACTAATGTGAATGAAAGCCAAATGTGACAGTATAGAACGACTGAATTCATTCTCTGTTCCCCACATAACTGATACACTGATAGAACAATAGTTCAACATTTTGGGACATGCACTTATTTAACTCTCAGCAAGACAGCCAATGATACCACTCTCATGTCTATACGCTATGAAGTTACCACTGCTCAGCTTAGCTTAGCATAAAGACTGTATACAATGGGAAACAGCTAGTCTGGCTATGTCCAAATGTAACAAAATCTGCCTACCAACACCTCTAAAGTTACACATTATCTCTTGTTTGTTTAATCGGTACTGCAACCGGATGGTAAATCTACTCAGATGTAATTTTTCCACCTAGGTTTGTTACAGTTCTCAAAGTTGTCAATACATGTAATCTTTGTTGTTTTCTTGAGAGGGTAATGTCTGCGCTGTCACAGTTTCACTTGCTATTGCAGACTTCAGGCACAGTATTGGTGGCAGCACTAAGTAGTATTGTTGGTGGTCCACCAAGTGCATCATGGTCTTTCTTTCTGTTTACGTGTGAACAACCTGATATTTTCTAGCTGTTCCCAGTCTTTATGCTAAGCTAAGCTAAGCTAATTGGCTGCTGGTGGTATCGGTGTCCTCTCGTCTAACTCTGTAAGAAAACAAATATGTATAAATGTAAGCTTATTTCACAAACATATCTATATCTTTAATTACTCTATAGTGACGAGTAAATAGAGAGTCAGGACTGTACTGTACAAATCATGATCATTGTGTGTCACCACTAACAGTTGTAGCATTTGATTGATAAGCAGGTCATTTTGTACACATGATTAAAATAAACTGATTAATAAAAAATGTCTAGTTGAAATAAAACTGAACTTGTTTGGACACAAATCCTAATTCAAATACAGTATCTTCAGACTTTTATGCTTACTGATTTTAAACATTCTTTTTTATTCTTTTAAAACATTTTCAGGCTGCAGTTCAGAAATTTTAATTAGCCCCTCTGGCATTAATTACATCAAAATAAAAAGAAAGAGTATACTTTGGGAGTCATATCTGATTAGATTCACGTTAAATTATGATTCATTTGTGTCTCCACTGCACAAATACAAGGTAATGATGTCATGAGACTGACTGATTTTTATAAGAAAAGAAAAGAAAATATACCGAAGATGACGTGGTGTAAACAGTATGAAAGAAAAAAATCAATTTCACACTTATTTGAAGCCCACTGATGTGTTCTCTGCGGCACCATCTGATCTGCAAACACGCTCATATAAGACTGTAGCCATTAGGTGTGTATGTGTGTTCTGCAGACTGGAGCACGTAGAGAGCAAAGAGTCTTATTCTGTGGCATCTGAGGGCACGTACATACAAGCAATCTCACAATTATATAATTCTCAAATCCTGTATTTCATTCTCATTAAGAAGTTCCAAAAATCTTTCAAAATATTGAAACAGGTCAGTTAATGTGCACTTCCAGGAAAGAGTGAGCTGTGGTGTTTAATGAGGACATTTTGTAGTCAGTGTAAAAGACTTTGATTATGTCCAGCTATGAAGCAGCCTCATCAGTTTCTATTAAAGTGAGACAGAGATTGATTGTTGAAGCTATATTACTTACTAACTTTGGACCACCAGGAGGTCTCACGATGCATCAAAGTAAAACTAAGATGAGTAAGCTGAGTTGGGTTAGAGTCTCTGAGATATTCTGATCTGTATTTTTCTTAATTGCTAGGATTTCTCTAAAACTGTTTTAGTGCTGTAGAGAACACTTTGTTTCAATTTCTTTATATATATATATATATATATATATATAGTGCATTATGTCATCATCGCTGATGTTCGTACATGCAATATGTTGTATTTTGTGTGGTATTAAAAAGTACCTTTGAAATACTGCAGCGAGTTGGAGGGACTACATCAAGTGCACAACTGGGAGCTTTTTCAACGAAGCTGTTTGGTATTTAAATAGTTTAAAAGTCTCAGTAGCCATTAGGTAAGCTCAGACAGACAGACTGAAAGGCAAAAAGAAGATGATTGATATAAAGTGCAGTATGGAAAGAAGGCTCCTTTACACTTTAAATTTGGTAACGGCATTATGTGTATAACAGTTATTAGCCATGCTAGCAGCTCTGTGAGCCAGCACTTTGGCACTGCGGTGCTTTGAGCTAAATGCTAACATTTTAAGTTGTTGAGTTTAAACTTTCAAAACTTAATTTCAACCTTTCAAATCTTAATTTTAATTTCATGGTGAGACTGATTTTACCTCACAGACTGCATTGATCCTTCCACATCATACACACTGTAGTGTCTGCTGAGCCCCGGGCACTATACCACTGGAGCACTGAGGAATTGTTTTGTGCTTCTATCGCTTCCACCTTACATAATGGATTCAGCTGAGACATTTATTCACACCAATGAATTTGGCTTCCTGCCTTACTGGTGGCCATTTCTGCTCCTGGCAGAAACATAAAGGAGCTGAACTTCTCATTTGCTTCATAGCGCAGAAGATAAAACATGCTTTTGTTTCTCTGTCTTTGTCTCTCTCTGTTTGCAGATAGCTTGTCGCCTCCTGTCAATGTGACCATCAAAGCGGTGAAAGCAAACTCTGCTGTGGTGACATGGGACATCCCAGAGGGAGACCCCGTCATTGGCTTTGCCATCACACAGCAGGTGAGCAACAGCACAGACACAACTCCCACTGGATATATATATATACATATATATGTGTGTGTGTGTGTGTGTAAATGTAATGGGGCGGATACTGTTGCTTATGGAAGTAACGCACACACTAATTGAATTAAGTCGTGGCTCATCATTGGTTGTTTGCTGCCGTGTCCAGTTCTCTTTATTGTGTCGTTCCCTTGCTCAGAGTCAGTATGCATAATGGGGATTTTCACAGGACGCTGGATCCTGTCGGACAGCCTGTCTCCTCTCTAACAGCAGACTGTGACAGCTTTGTAAAATAGGGAAAAGTGATATTATCTGCTGCTGTCGTGATCACATAAACATATAAAGTCACACACACACACACATTCATTCACAGGCATTAATTGCATTACTTTACAAGCTGCTATCTTGTGACATTAATGGATACAAACACACATACACACACTCATTCACATGAGTTGGGAGTGACATGATTGAGGAGGACAGCTGCAGGGTCAGTGTGCGTCACTTTCTCACTGTGGTACCAAGGTGTGTGTGTGTGTGTGTGTGTGTGTGTGTGTGTGTGCAGAGGAGGCAGAAATCCTGTTGATGTGAACTGTGATGTTCAGAAGATACAAATAACATCTGCCTATACTGTAATTGTTGTTGATAAATAATTCAATTATTTTCTTTCTCACGTCTTACTTCTTTTTGTCTGTATGTTTACAGTAGTAGGTGACATTTTTAAAGGAATAGTAACCCTAACCCTAATACGCTTTAAGACGTGTTAATGAGAAGGTCAACGCCACCCTTGTCTCTTAAACGCGAAGCTACAGCCAGGAGTTGGTTAGCTTAGCTTCGTATAAAGGCCCTAATAGGACATTTCAGAACATTATGTTTGCCCCAATATGACACCAGAAGGTCTCTTGAGCAGTGCAAGTGCCTATAAATAAATAAATAAGACTCTGAGTGTCTATCCAGTTAGCTAAACTGAAATTCTTGTGCAAATTTAGAGCCGAACCATAACCCTCCACCATGTAGGTGGGTGTTCCCACAGCCCCTTAGCAAGTCAGTGTACACAACTGTTGTAGAGCATGATGACAGAACACAGATCATCTGTCCTCTTGCTGTAAATAATACTCACCCCGTCTCTCGTCATACTCCAACAGAAGAAAGACGTGCGCATGCTGCGATTCATCCAGGAAGTCAACACCACCACACGTTCCTGTGCATTATGGGACTTGGAGGAAGAGACAGACTACATTGTGCATGTCCAGTCCATCAGCATGTCTGGCACAAGCCCGCTGAGCGAACCCCTACGCTTCCGAACGCCGAAGGAGGCCGAGACTCAGGCCTCTAAGAGTAAAGGTAAAGTGGCACAAACACATTCACACACACACACACACACACACACACACACACACACACACACACACACACACACACAGACACACACAGAGAAATACGAACACTTGCTCAGTCATACAACATAACACACTTAAAGAAAAAGACCTACACATTTTCTCACTCTGTTTCTGTCCTTTTCAAGAAAGTGAGTGCAGAGGGGACTTACCCTTTTGACAATATCTTGACTGATTTTGTCTAAAGACCAATAAAAATCAATAAACACACAAAGCGTGAAATGAAATTTCACAACAGAGTGCTTCTAAAGCTCACCCCCGCTGACCACAACTTGGGAATAAAACGTCCAAGGGGGGTGCATACTTCATTGTCTATTGATGTGCCTTGGCAGTCCTCACCCGGCATGCACCCAGCACAACTGCACGGTAAACCAAAATGAGGAAAGGCATTTATCAGACACAGAGAGGAGGTAGTCAGAGCTGTGAGGGGTAGCGAATCAATGTGCTGTTGGCTGAAACTCTGCTCCATCTATTCCTCCTCTCATTTACACTCGTCTCTCATGTGAGCTCCCACTATACTTTGATACTTCCCAGCCTGTGGAGTCTAAACTCCTGTTATGGTGGCAAGTGTGCTGGCAGAGACAATATAAATACAATCAGTGCAGAGTTCTGAAAACATGCTCTTCTCACCACTGAGGCTTAATTAGCACAGGAAGTGTTGTTTCTGCAACAGGAAGAATTTAGAGAAATCAATAACTGCACAGGATCCAAATAAACAAGTGGGTTTAGGGTAAGGGTTTGGGTTTAATCCGTTGTGTACATGTACATGCTCATTTCTTTGAGGTTGAACCGGTGATGAGAAACTCAACTCATGCACAATGCACAGAAATAAAAAGAAGTGCCTCATAAACAGTGGGGCACTAGGTTATGCAGGGGTGGCACGAAGTGCGTGTGGAATAACATTAATTTACCATTATTCATGGCGCCATACATATAAAGAACCAATAAAACCAATGCAATTAAAATAAATAAGCATGTTTGGACATAATATTGTTAGCAAAACTTCAAATCTACAATACAAATCTCTTACAGAAAATGTGCTCCAGGGAAATGTCACAAAAGACCGTTGGTTTGAACTAACTTTCTAAGCACTCTCATGTCTGTACACTAAACATAAAGCTACTGCCAGCAAACTTAGCTTAGCATAAAGACTGAAAACACAGGGAAACAGCTTGCCTGGCATTGTCCATAGGTTCAAAATGCAGTAGATGCCTCGATGTTTGATGATGTTTGTTTTATGTGGAAGGCTCACTTATCCATTTCCACATATTGGCAGGCTCTGCACACACACACACACACACACACACACACACACACACACACACACACACACACACACACACAGACAGCGTGTGAAAGTAGCTATTCGCTGCAAAGCAAAAAAGATGTCCCCGCTCCTCCACACATATCCCACCATGCACGCATTTCACAAAGCAAATCTCCACAGAGAGCAGGACTGTGATTCATCATCCTTCATTCGCACTCAACAACAACTTCACAGTTTAGCACAACGCCGCACACACTTCTCAGTCTCATTTGCAGCTCTTGCTCAAGGATGTCTGTTTAATTAGCTTAGCTATGTTGAAACAATGAAACCTTTTGATGACAGATGAACAGATGTTCTTCAAGTCTACATTTTGTAATGCATTGGAAAATCAGTGTTGTTAGGATTCATTGTTCATTTTCCATAAGAGCGAGACAAGGATATGTATATCCTCCAGGCTTTGTTGGGCTTTTATACCAAAGGACTTTATTTTGCATTATTTTGCAGATACTTTACAGGTGATCACTAATCATTTTCTTCTTCACTATTTCAGACCTTCCTAAGAGAACAATCAGTTAATGTAATATCAATTTATCATCGTTTTACATCTGCCATCAAGAGAATTGAACATAAACATCAATGTAAACTGAGGTGATATGGTTGTGTTGAATTGATAAATCATTTCTAAACTTACTTTTCATTAAATGGATAACAAACCCAAATGATGGGAAATGGCCTGTGTTGTTAGCGTAAAGGAATGAAAAAAGAGAGTCTTTTACTGCAGATAATTGCACAGAGTAGAGAGTGTGGGAGAGAGAGTCTCTCAGTACAGCTGTTAGTCCATTGTCTCCATATGACAGGCAAACGTCCCTAGAAGAAAAGGGAGCTTTTCACCATCCTCGCTCAACTGCTCGGCCCTTATGTTCTGCCACATCGTGTTGATCTCAGTGGAAAGAGCAAAGGATGAGCCCAAAATGCTGGATTGTTCCATATTCCTTCTAATTTCCTCTTTCACAGCGGGTTTAAGCTTCAGGAGATGAAGGGAAGCTAGAGAGATGAAAAAAACACAACCTGTGCACAAAACAAACAGGAGGAAGAGAAGATGAATCAGAGAAATAGAGGAAGGGGGGAAATAGAGTGACTGGCAGAGAGGGGAAAATAGGGAGGAAGTACCAGAAGGATAATAAGAAATCTAGTGACAGACAATTAAATTCTGCTTCCCAAAAAACACACAAACTATGTGTGTTTTGTCACAGCCCTGCACTGAGTTTTGTGCATTGCGCTGGATGGACCCACTGAGAATGAGCTGTCAGTCACAAAGTAGCCATGCCCTAAAGTATATCCTGCTTTAGGATCTATTTTACTCTAAATGGGACCATAATTTACAAAACGAACTGTATACAAGAAGACTTGAAACTAGCGATTCAGACCATAAACTCATTAGGTCACTGTTTACTGAGGCAATAAATCAAGAATGCAGGTTTAAGACACTTCCACCTTGGCTTCACTTTATAGACCCAAAGCTCTGTCCACTTATTACATACTATCAGTGCTCTGGCCAATAGGGAAATTGTTTTTCCTTTCTTCTGTCATGTTTGATATGTATGTGAAAATATATGTCCCCATCCCTCATCTCTGATACCTCCCATTGGACGAACAAAACTACTCCTGGGCCACTGTGGCCACTGAAGTCACATTAAAGAAAAAGGAAGAATCGCACATGGCTTGGGCACCTTAAAGTGAACCGCTCAGCATTTTGGGAAATATACTTTTTCCCCTTCTTTGAGATGAGAAGATGCATATCAATCTTATGTCTGTGTGAGGGCAGTTTACCATACTGTTTTACCACTGAAGACACAGAGGGCATGTACTCCACTACACATTGGTGGAAGACGTATTCAGATTCTTTACTTATGTAAAAGTATCAAGACACACAAGTATCACACAAATTTGTACTTAGCTGGTCCTTGGTACTTGTTTTTTGGGGTGATATGGGGAGTTCAATTATAAAGTTAAAAAAAGTGGGTTTTCAAATGACAGATACTAATATGTTTCTCCTTAAATTTGACCATTTTTAGGACAAGGAAAATACATAAATTAACTTTACAACAACATAATTTATCCCTGGGAGAATGGAAAACACTTTTCACATCATGTAGAGAAATACAGCTGTTTAAAATGAACAAACAAAAAACATAAAAGAACAGCTGAATGAATTAATATCCAAATATAAAGAAAAACTGTACAGAATTTCCAGGTTGCTTCTTGGATTTATGGCCTCAGTATTTTTATAATCCTGGTCCCTGCTGTGCACTTCTATTGTGCTTTACTCCAGCTACAGCACAGGTTGCAAGATACACTCTCTGTGCTCAGGTTTGGTCTCTGTATAATGTAGTGCACCCAGCTATTATTCAACAAAAACCACAGATTGTCATGTTTACAGCCTGTTTCTGTATGTATTAAAGTGACACTCCAACTAACTTTAAAGCTGTTCATTCATAAAACCCAGAGCCTCGTCCAGCGAGTTGTCAGCATGCATCAGAGGAGTTACAGCTGACCAGTTAGCCCCAGTGAGGCCGGCTGGAAACAGTGTCAGGCGCTTTGGGCTGTTGTGCTTTGATTAGTTAATACTGGGCAACAGAGGCCGATCGATCTGCAGAATTGCTTGTTGCTAAAAGCTACTGGAGCGTGAGGTTCCTGCCACACTGGGCCCTCCAAATGTCACCCACTGCATCTAATAAAAGGATAGAAGTTCTGTACGCTGCGGTGAACTTTAGATCAAGCCTGACTTCCACAACACTCAGCAGTGCAAGAAACCGTTACTGCGGGTTGTTGCTTTGTTCCATAGAAACCTGCAGGTGTCTACAGGCAGCCACTGCATGTGCAAAAAACAAGAAAAAACACTCACTTTTGGTATTTCTCCTCATGGTCATACAGCTTCAGAGATGATGGAGTCTAATTGGTGTGAGTTGATCCTGTTTTTCTATGCTTTATCTCTCCATCGCGCTGTAGTACGCAGGATCCCCAGTGGCCTCAATGAAGCCTTAACTATTCTCTTCATGTTCTGCCTCGCTATGATCTTTTGACTCCAGCAGGCGCTCACAGAATCAGGCCTATTAGTGATCACGCACAACACATCTCTATGTATGCGTGTGTCTGCCTGCATTTATGTGGTTTAAAATGCCTGCCTGTATGAAGTCAGTCTTTTGAAAATCATCACTTTCTTTCCTGCTGCAACCAAGGTCCTTATCAGCACCTGTGCTAGTGTACAGATCCCTGCCGTTACATTGCTGCACCTGTAATTTAACACATAATGGCGAAGGGAGAAAACCAGCTGACAAGTGCCAGTATCCCTCATGGATGTATAAAGTATAGACTGAGATCTGAACGGGTAAATGCACTCGATTCACAGAACATTCAGGGAATAAGACACCAGCCCTCAAAAACTGTGTGAGGAAGTTCAAGATCTCATGAGCAAGGATATAGACCTTGAAGTGCAAGTGTCTAAAATAAAAGAGTATGTCCATGAATGGATAAAATGACGGAGCAGGACAGTTCAGTGAAGTCTGTTGGTGCTCTACAACAACGTGCGCTAAGAAGTTGGGGAAAAAAAGACAGAGAATATTCTTATCCCTCCTAGAGCTGCTGGGCTTGGTGGTAAAAGGATCACCATAACTGTGGAGGTGAGGAGAAACAGAACTCTCAGACTGGCTGGTAATTACCACTAATACAGCAGAAGCAAAGGCATAACTTAAAACTGAACTGAAAATGGTAAAAAAGTTAAAGAATTTATCAAATTATGACCCTAAGGAGTTAAAGGTCCAGGGTGTAGCATTTAGGAGGATCTATTAGCAGAAATGGAATATAATATTCATAGGTATGTTCTGTTTAATCACCTAAAATAGGAATCATTGTGTTTTCCATACCTTAGAATTAGATGTTTTTATCTACAGATGCCACGGGTCGCCTTCCATGGAGTCCGCCATGTTGAACCACTATGTTTCTACTGTAGCCCAAAACACACAAACCGAACTCAGGTTGTTCACTTTTTTTTTTTTTTTTTGTGGCCTCTGTAGTTTCTCTTACACACTTCACAGACCGTTGTCATTCCCAGTTCATCAAACACAGTTGCAATCTGCATCTCCTACAAATATACACAATCAAACTTAAAGCAGCTTGCTGTTTGCAGATATGCCAAGCAAGACAAAAGTCTTATATGAGTCTTATATTCCACCCTCCCCTGCATTATTCATCATTTATTTGAACCCTTTCCTTGACAACTAAAAGAGGCAACAAATAAATTATTTAAGATGTTATCATGTCATTTAAATCTTAATATGTTTGTTGAAATCATCTCCTGCAGAATGACTTTTACTTTTGATACTGTAGGTACACTTTGATAATAATACTTACATGCTTTTACTTAAGTACGGTTTTGAATGCAGGAGGTTTACAGTACTTGTAGTATTTTCAATGCGGTATTGATACTTTTACTTCAGGATCTGAATACTTCTTCCACCACCTGTCTCTCTACCCTAAAGCTAAAATGTGCAACTATTTGATGTTTTTGTGTAGAATTAGTCTCATAAGGAAAGGCTGAAATAAAATCTAAATTTATGGTGACAAGTTAAAACACGTTCCCCTGCTTTCTCAAAGAAAAACTACATGACCCTCCTCCTTCCCTAATAATTGTAGCACAGTCCTGTAATTACCATAAGAGGAAGAAATGGATATCAGAGGTTGTTTTCTGTTTGATATCTGAATGTTATATCAGCCGTGTCACGAACTTTGAAGCTATTCAAAATACAAACCTCTTCTCTGATCACAACACCCTGATCTGTCAGCCGTTTCACCTCTGAGGAGACGGTTGATGCAAAGTTGTTCTTGCACAGGATTTGTGTGCTCATGCTGTGATAGAGCAACCTGGCAGTTCTTATTACAAGAGACTTGTACTGCATAAACACACTGATGCTGACTGATATGCCTCCGAGCTCAGCATGCTTGAAGTGTCAGTCATTAGACTCAGTGAAAATGCTGATTTTATAGCAAAACACTTTGCTGATATGTTGTATAATTTTGCCGTTTTTGCTGCAAATTAGCAGCTCCTCATCTTCCAAAGGACGGCTTGCCTTAAGACTCAGAAACTCTCAATAGAAGCAGAAAATGATCCCAAAACTTTATGACAGGCTATGCATGTATAAGGGAAATTATCCAAACTTCTGGCAGAAAAGTCCTCTAAAGACAGTGAGACAGTGGACAATACTGTCATAGTAGCAACATCAAGAAAAAATATAATTGAAAACGTTGCTGGTAATAACGGTGTCTGATGAAGATCAGTTCAGCACATTGACCTTGGCTCTTTTACAGTCAGGCGGTAGAATGGGACATTTTAATGAATGTATGTGTCAGGAGCAAACTCCTTCTGTCTTATTCAATGATAGATGATAAATCATTTCTTTTTCAGTAATTTGACAGAATTTGACATTTTTTGGTCGATCTTAATCCACTTCAACTAACAGTCAGATAATCATGTTGCCCGTTGACTCCTTTAGACGAAGTGACGATGGAGGAAGTGGGCCAGACCACCCAGCTGAGGGCAGGAGAGCTCATCATCATCGTGGTGGTACTTATCATGTGGGCAGGTGAGAACAATAATGTTTATTGAACCAGGATCAGACATCTTCACACACAGCGTTTCTCTGGTAATCTGACTGAAAATAACACGAAACCCCCTGCTGTTGCTCTCAAAATCAGGTGCATCAATTTGTGTTGAGAGGATAACCAGAGTTGGCTGATGATGAATACTTTCTGCCTCTCCTCCCAGGTGTGATTGCTCTCTTCTGTCGCCAGTATGACATAATCAAAGACAACGAGCCCAACAACAACAAGGACAAAGCCAAAAACTCCTCTGAGTGCAGCACTCCTGAACATCCGACGGGTGGGCTGTTGCGCAGTAAGGTATAACCCACCCCTCTCCTCCCCCCCAGGGTGCCCCCACCCCTCAGCGGCTCCGGGCAGGTGAATGGTCCCGGCTCACTTGTAGACGTTTTTCCACTGACACTGTCATCTGAACATCAGCTTCAGGCTTCAGCTAAACGACTGCTGCAACATGGCCCTATTATGTGCATGCCTTTAAAACAGCAAACACACACAAATCATGGCTTCTAATCAGTTCTTTTTTTGATCAGCGCACAGGGCCCCATGTACATATCCATCTCTTGTGTTCAGAACAGTGCAGAAAACAAAAGTCGAAACAAATCTTTATTCTGTTCACTTTCTCGTAAGACATCAATAAAACAGTACAGAGGCATCCTCATGCTCATTGAAGAAGTCTATTGTATGATTCCTGTGAGTCCACCAGCCTTCTCATACCTGTCATGTTCTTCTTCCCTCCCACAGTACCCCAAGAACAACAACAACAACAACAATAGGATGCCATCTGTCAACATCATTGAGGTGTGACTGCCAGGACGTCTTCTCTTTATCCAAAAGACTTTGTGTTCTCACAAACAAGCGGGCCCTTTTTTTAAGCCCATCTGCTTGTCAGGATGAGGCTGGGACTCTGGGACTCTGGGCCCCTCGGCGGCACTTACTCTCCTTTGGCAAGGGGCCCGGCACTGAAGCAAAGCTGCAGGACTACGGGGGTCAGGCAAGGCCTGGTCGATTCCGGTCTGAGAGCAGAGTCGGCGGCGGAGCAGCTGCAGAGAGTTCAGTGGCTGCATCGTGCTCAATAACTACTGTACCATGGGGCCGCAGAGATTAGGGCCAAACTGCTCCGGTGGCGAGTCTGCAGATAAACCAACTCCAGGGACCAAAGCTGATGAGCAGAGCCAGAGACCTTTTCATTCTTTCTCCCGCCCTCTGTCACCTTTTGCTTCTCACAGTCTCTCCTCACGTTACCACAAACCTGGACATCTGTCCTTCCTGGGTGGCACAGAGATGCATCCACTTTGTTGAAATGGTCCCCTGTACTTTAATCGCATCCTCAACACCTTATTTTCTTCACATCCTGTATTCTACGTTAACACTGTATATCACTCAAGTGTATTACTGTAGTTCGACTTTTAACAAACTACCACCAGAACAGTCCTGTTGTTCTGGTATCCCTAAGTTTTTGGTTTTTTTTAGAACCCCCCTCAGGCAGAAACTCTTTGCCGTCCTGTGGGAAATGTTTTCATGTTGGCGATGTTGTTTTCCCCCCTCAGGGAGTCCAGACTCCACCTGGCTAATTAAGAGCCATTTCTTAGATGTGCTGCAATGACGCCAGAGCAGCTTTAGAGGGATCACTCGGCTCACCACCAAGTTAAATCACCCAGTCTTGTTGGAAAACTCATCACTCGCACTGAAAGGCGTCTCTGATGTGAACACATACGTACAGTGAAGTCCATCTACAGACCGGGTTCGGTATCATCTTGCTCACACTTGCTTTTGTTATTATAGGTTCCTGAAATGTTACATTCCACATCCAGGATGAGCCCTTTAGTATTTCCTTGTGTCTTTCTCTTTGAGGGTGATGAATTTCAAAGCATTCTGGGGAGGAAAAAGAACTGCCATAATGGAGTTCATTCATCTAATTAATGAACTTTAAAAGGGGGCTGGACTCTATGGAGAGACGCCGAAGAGATCCCTTATATCAGCAATAACAGCCTTCGGAGAAGCATGCAAGCAAGGACTCAAACTCTGTAGCCTCTTCATCCAGAACACCACCTCCCAGCATGCAATGTTCAGATAACAGATGAACAAATTGCACATCTAATATGAGGGAATTAATCCTGAGCCTCATTAACAGGTGATCCCTCTCCTGAACTCTCAGAGAAAAGTCTTTCAGCGCTGTTGTAAAAACTCAGTTTCTGATGGAGAGCATGGAGAGAAAAAAAATACTTTTTATGAGCCCAGCCTTCAACCCTGAGACATCCTTGTGACATCCTGAACAGAAGGGCTTCTATCAAGACTTTTTCCAATGTGTTGAAACTCCATGTATAAGAGGCTAAAAACAATGATGAGGGATCATCTGTCGCCATATGGTAATGTGCGCTGTATACTGTGAGGGAACTTGTTTTTTCGAACGGTGTATTTGAGGGCTGATTCAAACTCAGTAGTGCTGCCTTAAAAATAATTATATCTTATGATTTGTCTAATGAGACGGAAGGCCCCGTATCTCACATTTGTGTCAAATTCATTAGCTTTCACATGATATTTAAATGTGTGTGCAAAGTAAAAGGAAACATGACAGATGAGGTTTAAATTGAATATGTAAATACATTTTATATTTAATTCTTGTTCGGTGGTGTCAGTTTAGAGAGCCTTTAGTGAAATATGACTAATGTGGCAAATGTATAGACTCCTAATGTAAAAGGGAACTGCTACTGGTGAAAATGTGGGTGTTTTTTTTTTTGTTAATACACTGCTTTCATTAATGAGCTTTTTCCTCTATTATTATGTATTTCTATTACATTCTGTCACTGTGTTGTTTTTGTGCAATAAGAAAATGAGAAATAATCACACAAATGAGATAGAATGATAAACACATAAGCTCCTTCTTCTGCTGCACGGACTCCGTCTCAGTCCGTGGTACCCTGGCTCGTCATTTATTGTCAACGCAGACAAATACACATGTGGTGGAAGAGAGGCAGTGAAGGTAGTTAAGAGAGAGAGGTGAAGGTTAGGTATTTTAACGGCGTGGGAAGAACGATGGCTTCTATCACTCCCTGCCTTCCTCTCCCACTACTTCCTCTTTTAATAAGAGTGGGAAAGCTCAAGCTTGCACTCCTCCAATGAGCACTGGTTCATGCCAGAGAGGAGAGTGGGTAAGTAAAGGGTGAAGAAAGGGAGAAAGGAAGTCGCAGGGGCCTCTCTGGCTGTTCCCAGGAAAAAACTTGGTGAAGCCTTGAGACGGTGTTGTGCTGCTCTTTACCCAGAGTGATCAGCACTTCACCGAAAACCCCTGCGGTCAAAGGTTGAATCCATTTTTTCCCCCAGGAACACCTCACCAGTAGCTGGCACCCCGATCAATAGGCATCCATCCACACAGTAAAGGGTGATGATGACTGTCTCCTGGGATGAACTAGGGCCATGTTATAAGTTTGCCAACAATATATTTCTCAACGACATTCCCTGTAGGTAATTATGTATTTTCTTTCCTCCTCTACGGTTGCTTAAATTAGTCAAACTTAAGAGGTTTACATTTAAAGCGGTCAGAGGTTTAACTAAACTTCTAAATTGAGTGTATTATAAACTGCAACTTATGGCACACTCCTCTATGTTGCTACTGTACATAGTGTATTCCTTAATACTGATTTCAATGTAGGGCTACTGTGAACATCCACTTTTGTGGCAGATTTTTGTCCAACTTTACTGTTAAAGGACATTTTGGGAAATACGTTTATTCGCTTGTCTTGCAGAGTTATACAAAAAAGATCAGTACCATTCACATACCTCTACAATAAATATGAAGCTACAGCTAGCAGCTGGCTAGCTTACCATAAAGCATGGAAAGAGGGCTTTTGTTACATTTGGACAGAGGCAGGCCAGCTGTTTCAGTTTCCAGTCTTTATGCTAAGCTACAACTGTGCTAACCAGCTACAGCCTCCAGCTACACACAGTAGCATAAGTATGAGTTATATTGATCTTCTCTTTCAACTCTTGGAAACAAAAGGAAATAATTCCCAAAATGAGTACGAGTCTGCAGACAAGTAATGTTTGAGTGAGCTCTTCTACACAGAGATAATCCAGCAGCCTCAGTTTGATGGTAAACACCTGTTTGGTTTTACATAGCAGTGGAATTGACCACGTTCAAGAACTACACAGAGGTCGTGCATGTTGGGTTAATTAATGGCAGTCATCTGGGTACCTAACCAGAGTCCACATATTTTATACCTGGTGGTGGGAGTGCAGGGACGTCTGAACTGTTCCTACTGCTGAAGACTGGGTTCTAGTTATTTATAGCTGTAGCCACCATTGGCGTTTCTGGTCAGAAGAGGTTTTAAGCTTTCCAACACAGATGAAAAATCTTTTTCCTTAATCACACTCGACTAATGGGGACGACTGTACCAACTCAACATTCCACTTCAGCCCTGTGGTGGCAAATCACTCTTTTAACAACACACTGAGGACTTTGTTTCTCTTTGAGAGGCCCGAGGCGTTTCCTCGTGCTACTGTATGTAAAATACTGTACGTTCGGTAGCAGTAACGGACTATTTTGCAACAAGACAGTAAAGAGACTGGATTTTTCAAAACAACTTACACAATGTGTATTTTGTATGAGACTAGAAACATGCCTGGAAACTGGAATGCATCATTGTGATATTACAGAGAAGTTGGACTATTTCATTTTGGGTTCTTGAAATATAGGAATGAGATCCACAAAGAAGCATGGTTTAGAAAAATGAACTGCTTTATTAGTGCTATCATGTTTATATTCATTGTATGAAGTGTACAGCAGTCATTGCTTAATGAGGGCTAGCATGGTTTAACTATTATGCACAAGATTACACAACTTCAGTTATGAAGGATATGGTGTATGCTTACTTGTGTATGCTTAAATAAAATAAAAGATACCTAATATTTTCCACAAAAGTCTGTGTTTGATCTTAATTAGAAACATTAAGTAGTAAGATTCAAAACAAAACACGAGGCTGTCAAAACCGTTCTGGACAAAAATAAGAGTTCAGAGTGGTGAAATGTTCTTTCCAAGCAAACAGTTTTACAGAATCCAAGAACAGGGTTTTTTTTTTGTGAATAATACATGTGAATCTCTTCACCAGGCTTCAACTGTCAAGAGTTTTCTCCATCAAAAAAAAAAAAAAGCACAGATACAATTGGCCATCTTACTGTTACTGGGGAAGAATGGAGTTTTTCCTGAGAAAGGCTAAAATCCTCCTGAAAAATTCTCCCAACAACATGGTTTCAGGCAACTACATTCACTGTCGAGTCAGCACCTTGTGTAAGAAAACGTGCCTGAATTTGTAATGAGTTAGAAATCAATGAGACTTAAATGGCAAAACACAACAAATCACTTAGATCTTACTCAAACCCCACATTAGATTATGTTTGTTTGTCTATGCATCAATGCAAGAGCAACGGTTGGCCTGAGCAGCAGAATGAGGCGGTGGGATTCTGTAGCGGACATGCTTGCCTTCGATCTCTCGTGGTCTCTTGTTTTTGGTAGAGCAGTCTGTTTCGACAAGCACAGCCGAGGAAGAACTGTGAGGCGTGTAAACACAAACAGCTTCCTCGCTGCCCTCCTGACTTTGGACGGGCACATTGTTAGAAAGTGTAGAGGTGTTGTGGCTGCTCGGCTTCACACGTGCGCAGCAGTGTGCACAGTGTGTGTCACGAGGCCTTCACCGACACACCTGCCTTCTGGATGGCTGGCCAGGGACAGGCTGCCCCACCAACTGTACAGACAGGATTACTTTTAAAGCCTGCATTATTCAACGCACAGGACCCACGCTGATGAGGTCCATGTATTTGGGCTCCATGGGGTAACCAAGATGAACAGGCTAGGTTGTATTGTAAGTACATTATCAGCAGCAGTGTCTCGCCACCACACAAACACAGACCTGCTCTGACTCTCGGGGCGCCGACTCACCAATCAGCGCCTGTGGTACTTTTTACTTTTTTCACAATGTTACAGGGTTTAAATGAAACCACAGTGCAGAGAATCCTCCAAGCAGCTCAGAGGACACTCCGGCCACTGCTGCTTTACAATTAAAGGGTCAGTTCTCACAAATCACAGAAAACATTTGACCATTTAACCAATTTAGTAGTTAAAATGCCCAGAGGTCTGGATAATCCAGATTAGTCATGGACATAATTCCCTGTTACAATTTAAGGTATGGTTGAAAAATGTTTATATGATGTGGGTGAACTGACCTTGATGAACAAACACTTCTAGCTAACACCACGCCAACGTATGGAACACAAAACTTAACCATTTCTGTCTGTCCCCATATAAAATCTATTAAATCACATTAGAAATGTAAAGTTCTTTTGACTGTTGAGTTACAAATATTGAATTACTTTTTAGATCACTTTCAATGTTCAGGGATGGCAGTTTACATATATCTCTGGAGGTTTGTATGCAGGGCTGGACTACAACCTGTTCATAAACATTTCCAGGCTTGCGCAATACATTACTCTGTTTTGACATACACTATACCTTAAAATCCACCTTTCACCCTCCAACCAATACAATAGTCTTGATGCACAGGGATGGGAAATATGTCTGCTAAAGTTTTCCTTCTGCCAGCTGCTCATTCTCAGAGTGATCCAGGAACAATAACAAACTACAGTACAGGCCTGGTGGTTCAAATAATGTTAAATACATTAGTACTCAAAACAACAAAAAGTAGTAGTGCAATAGAAGTACAAAACACACTTAAACAAACATTAAAACAGGCACAGTTTCAAGAACACCAAAACCACTTAAAACATGCATTAAGATTTATATACAGGGACATGCATAGTTGAAAGAAAAATAGAAAGCAAGAGTCAAAACTGACAAAGCAAAAATACACACCAAAAATCAAACAAAGAAAGAAAAATTAGATTAGATTTAGAAGGTAAGTGCAATTTGTTCACAATGAAATTGTCTACAATCCCAATTTAGGGAAATTGACTCCTTTCAAAAATTTTTGGGACTCTGGCAAAGCGCTTGTGAGTTGCTCCATTCTTAGCCTGCCATTCATGCAGGGACATTTTTGGCTGGATGTTTTGAAACCGCTGTTGGTAGTTCCTGAAAGTAAGCACAAATCCAGAGCAACACATTTTATGTTGGTTGAAAAAAATCTGCTTTAACGGCTTGGACACAGCCCGAGTGAGCAGTGCACGCCCGTGGTGTTCACACAGAGCGGTTCTGCTGCAGCCAGCCCCATCTCAATTCTACATTGAGGTTAACTTCAAAATACAAGGTTAGCCAAATGAATGGAGTCTGTCCAAACAAACACTGAAGAACCTTAAATCTGAAATGGATACAGGAAACATTTAGGGCCGCACCCTAATAGTCAACTTAACCGTTAGTTGCTCAGAAGAGTACAAAAGTATAAGGGGATTGTTGCAACATGGATGTTTTCTCTTGTAACACTGGGAGTTTAAACACTATTAGCATAGGAGCGGGGGACCCAGTGGGGAATACTGCCAAGGAGCACACAACTGACATGGGCTCACAGCCTCAACGGAGGTCAGCTGATCTACAGCGGCTCCGACCAGGACGATGGCGACACGGCGGGTTCAGGCAGCGACAGGAGAGGAATGAAAAAGAGGAAAAGGATCGAGTTTGCAGTGAGTTCATATTTAAGTAACTGTTGTCGCTTTACATCATCCATCATATCGATAAGTCTGCGAGTATTTGTTTCTGTGGAGATGGAAGTTCTTTATTCTGTTTTGAACAAGGAGTCTTGTGTGATGCTATACTGGGCTGAAATAAATAACTAAATGTCTCCTTGCTGGCTGTTCTGACACATTCAGAATCATTAACACTTTTTCTTTTATCATTCACAGGCAGCTGTTAAAATATATATATTTTCAATAATTAAATCAATGTCATACATGTGCGATAACTAGTCGACTATTGCCTTTATCTAACAATTATTTGTCAACTAGGAAACTCTTTAGTTGGGGCCAGCCCTACAGGAGGTGGAGGAGTTAAAAAAAATCTTTTCATCTTCTACAGTTATAGACATCGAAACTGTAGAGAAAGGATGTATGTGTGGCTGGTATAATGTTGATATGACTATGAATAGATCCTTTTCACTGTCTATTTTTGCGAGACATCTCTAGTGAAGCATCGCTGCAGCCGCATCCAAGGCTCACGCAGGCAGTGTAAACTCTAACCTGTTTAGATGGGCGCAGAAAAAAATAAAACAAAAGGCAAGACGTTCCACAAAGCACCTGCACTGCAGACACAAGCAGTGTGTCCAAGTGTGTCTTTAAATCCTCTCCTCTTTATAACTAAAGAAACCCAAAGAGAATAATGTACCTGCGGGTGAGGTCAGAGGGATGCTGCCACTGTTTGTCGTAACTGGCTGGTGTCTGGTCCGCCACATGGCTCATCAGTTTCAGCAGCTCAGTCATGACATCTACAGGAAACACATATGATTTAAAAATAAAAATATATTTATACTGAATTTAGGAGGGATGGAAAAAGAGATGACCTTCAAAACCACAAGAACGACAGTCTATGAAACAAACTGCACACCATTTAGTCGCAGTGCCATACCTTGAGCTGCTCCATTCAGGTGTCTGGTGACCGACTGGAGATATAGCCTTTTGTCCCGCTCCACCTCCCTGTCGAGGACCACCGGCCTGAAAAAGACAACACCTCTATACAAGCACACTTGAACACATTCAGCTGTACAAGTCGTCTCATGTATTAGACAGCAATCTACCAGTATAGCAAAACCAAATCATACTCAAAAAAATTTTAGCCAATAGACACTGATGACAAAGACAGGCAGGGAAAAATATTATCTAGGATAGACACAGTTGCCCTCTCAACAGTTCAGCATGGCCAAAACTTCCACACTGTGTTTTATATGGTCATACTGCTCCCCCTAGTGGTGACAGATGAGTACAGTACCTTTGAATCCTGGCACTGCTGTCACCTTTGGCAGCATTCAGCCCTGGCAGAGGATGTGCTGCTGGTTTACTGCTGGAGGGTTGCTGCTTGGGAGCCACTATAACTGACTTCACCTTGAAAAAAAAGCACAGAGGTTATGTGTGTGAACATACAGTATGCGCACTATACAGTGAAGAAAAATTAGCTCCACAGACTTAACTGTATGTGTGCAAGACCACATCAGAACAGCTCACCTGTACTTGGAGAGGTAATGTAGTTTCATAACTGGTGTCCAAAGTGGATTCATCTCCGCTGAGTGTGACCAGACCCGTGTGACTGCCCTTAACCTCCTCTGACACCTGTCTACTCTGCCCACTAGCATTCAACTTCACTGTGACGTTGTGACACAGAGAGGATTCAAATATGGGGAGACCAATATTCCACGCTTCTCCAACATCACCTTCTAAAGACTCCACAGGCGAGTTCACAGACTCCAACGGTCCTCCCGCAGCACAAGTACCCAAGGGAGTAGAAGTGACCACGGGGTTGAGACACAAGATGTCGTCTACATCACAGTCGAAGGCAGGTGCAACATTTAAGAGGTCCTTCTCACACTTCAGACTGAGTGGTACACCCCCCTTATTATCCCGTGGCTCTGTTGAGGACCCACACTCCACATGCTCCGAGTGTAGCTGACAGCTCACAGTTTGTTTTATTTTGCTTGTCAAAGCTTGTGTGTCATTTAACAATGCAGGCTTAGAGATGGCAAAAGGGGACATAGAGTCCTCTGTTGCAGTGGGGCTGGAGTAGTCCAAGAAACACCCGAGGTCTGGGGACAAAGCATTTGGACTAAAGGGCTTTTTTGCTGGGGTTTCATAACCCTCATCGGGACTTGAATCATCTAATATCCTTTTTTTATCACCATCGTTCTTTAATTCAATTTTAAAATTGATGAATGGATTACAAAACTGAGTCGGAGTGGCCTTCTGGTCACAAGTGATCATCCTTGAATACACTGAAAGAGGTTTCAAGTGTACTCGTTTGGCTGGCTTGAGCCTATTGAAAATTGTGCTCTTCGTGTGCGCTTTTTCATCCATGTCTGTTGATAAAAAAAAAAACACAAATCAAATAATCAGCTGATTGCCTCCAGTAAGCTCATAATTTAACAAATGGCATAAAAAATAATAATTTGAGCTAGATGTACTTAAAATACTTTACTTTTATAATTAAATTAAATAGCTGTACTCATTAGTAGCTCATAATCAATTGTTTCAAGCAAAGCAAAGATATTTCTGTTCATTAGATCTTACGTAAGAGCCAACAAGACTCTCCCTCTAATAACTCAAACCCATCAGTCCAACTTCTAAACATGGCTTTTGCTCTTACCGTGGATCTTTTCCGCCATGTCCAGTGTCTTAGTCTACACATAAAGCCCAGGGTCTGAAACAGAGAGCACATACAGTCTCACACTGTATCATCTACTGAGCTATTGACAAAAGAGAATGGGCATTTACTGGCTCCTCAAAAAGGCTTTAAGATAACACATACTGAGGTGGAAAAATACATCACTATAGGTTTTCTATAGTAATATGTAGTAAATTATATAGCAATTTTCTTTTTCACTTTGGATCCTAATCTGGTTTGGGGCCTCGTTATTCTATTTTAAAGCATGTTCAGACTGACTGTGTAAAAATACACTGCTGGTTTAGGTCACAATGTGTTCATAGAGGCCTCAAGAAGTACACGACTAACCCAAATGGAGCAGCAATTAGGAGACTGATTGTTTGACAGAAAACGTATGGCCTACTATTTTGGATAATCTATGAATCTATTGTGCAATTATTCATGCAAAAACAGCAGAACAGGTTTACAACCTCTTAAATATTGGGATTAATGTTTTTCTCCGTGTTATATAACATTAAATGAATATCTTAAGTTTTGTACTTACAAAAAGAGACATTTAACAACCTCACCTTGGACTGGAATGGACATGTATTACACTATTACACTACATTTGAAAGATCAAACGATTTATCAATTAATCTAGAAAATTAGTTTCAGTTCTAAACCCAAACACTAAATCTCACACCAATTAAGTCAGAAAAGACTCCACACACACACACACACACACACACACACACAGACACACACACTACTGGGGGGGGGGGGTTTATCTTCATAAACTCATATTGTGGAGACAAGCTATTCTCAAACCCACAGAGGGTTAAATTCAAAGATAAAAGAGAACAAATGATTTCCCAAGACATCCAATTTGTCAGAGTGATCTAAATAAAACCAGTCTTTTCTGTAATGCTCTAACTTAAATGGCGGCATCCTCAAAATAATCAATGTCTTCGGTTTCAAACTATCGGTCAGCACACGCCAAATGTTATAATCTATATTGCATGTAGCGTTACATACAATATGGATTGTTCCCTAAATTTAAAAACACTTCATTTTACTGGAACAAAGCTAAAAGTTGGAAAGAGACTGTTTATTTACTTGTTATGGGAGTTAGCTAACGTTAACGTTAAATTAACTTATGGTTAGCTGAAGTTCAGTCAGTTCCACCAATGTAGCCGTAACACTTTGTAGTTAACCTAACTTAAGCTAAAGAGCATTTAATTTACATTTAAATTTAATTACATTTAATTAATTTAATTAATGCGCTTAGTGACCGTAATTTTAAGTTGTTAAGTTGCAAACGTCACTGAATCAGACAACAAACGGTTTCCAACGTCCAGCTAACGTTAACTCAAACTCGGACATAAACAGTGATGGAGGTTCTCAACGGTCAACACTGACGCTAACTGTTAACGTTAGCTAATGGGAGCTAGCAACGTTTGTTAACGTTACTCATCCTTTATGAAAGCTAAAAGCTAAGCATTACGTTACCTTAAGAGGATACCATTCAACTGAATGTAATATCGGTGCTCTACCGAACTGTAACGGCACTAAATTACGCTCATTAATCAGCCAACTGAAATGACCTGCCGCTCCTCGCTCACTCGTACAGGTGACGGATTCAAGAACGTGCACGCGGAAGTTAAACATGGAGGCGCCAAATTCTGTCGTGGACAGTTAATGAGCGCGAGACGTTGATCATCCAATCAAAGAGAACCAACGTCGTGACGTTAAAGTTGAAACCTTTATCCAACTTGTGCTGCTTTTTTGTTGTTGTTGTTGTTGTTGTTGTTGTTGATGATGATGATTTACAGCCATTTACCGAATGCAGAATATTGGCCATCGCCTCCATATATAATCTCACAAATGTAACCTGACCGAGAAATAAGAGGGTCAGTGTGAATGCTACTGAAACAATAACAATATGGGTAAAACAGATGACATGGTGGCTCCATCTTGTTCAGTTTTACAGGTTTTAAAGGTGTTACACTGATTTTATCTGGCTGTGATTGTACTATTATAAATATAACCATATCGCTGCATTTTACTGTATCTTCTCTGCACACTTTCCTTAATATTAATTGGGCTAAGAGAGAAAATATATTTATATATAAGATATTTGTGATTTTGCTGATCAGACACTTTATAATATGAGTAAGTATGGCAACATACACTCAGTTTATAACGGGCTTTATTGGGGTTTATTAATATTACATACAAGGAAAGCCTGCTTGACCCAACATGTGTCACTGCCACTGTTATAACAGAGCACATTTCCAACCAGCAGACGTCAAAAATAGTTCCAAGAATACTGATATGAATGCATAATGATAAATTCCTTTACAAGAAATCTTGCTGAACAGTGTTGCATTCCTCCATTTGTGAGTAAATCAAATATTAGACAGCACCTTTGTTGACCTTTAGCTCACAAAAATCTTCCAAACTCAATATTTCATACTAATCATATCTCACTTTGTACATTTATATACTGTACATACACACACATTTTCATGAATGTCATGTAGGCTTACTGAGAGCCGTCTCATCTTGTCCTTCTTTGGTTGTGTAGATGCAGGAGCATCAAAGAGCCACTAGACTGCACCACTGAGAGGACTTGGCAGCTGGGAGACGGTGGAAACCCTACTGATGTCACAAATGTCTGTTTCATCACTTCAGATTCCAACTGTGGTTTACCACCGTATCTCCTCATCTTTCCCTGTTTTCCCTTCTTGGCCTGAGGGTTTATCCCAATGTCCAGGACCTGGGGGTTAGTGCAAGACTCAGCAAGACTTTTTATTTTGTGTGAGAAAATGTTAAAATGAATCATTTAAAGTGTATGAAAAATTATTGTCTAAATATTAAGACATAAGCCGTTCAGATATCTATCACAAGTGTGCCAGCAGATGGCAGTGCGGTCTTTTACATTGATTGAAACAAAAAGCACATTAAATCTTGTGCTGCTCTACTATTAAAGTAGGAAGCACATCACATATAGCAAATACAAAGGAACATATTCCCATGTACCTATAGCAGTATCCATCAGTGCTGGTTTTATTTATTTACTGAGGTTAACCCCCCCCCCGACACCACAGTACAATGGAGGTAAATGACACCTGTTGTTCACAGCATCTGATCTGTGCGTTACTCAGGAAAATACATTCATTTCACAATAAACCTTCACTGGGAGCATTCTTCCATAGATATTCTGAACATAACTTTCCTCAGTTAGTCTATAAAATGTCAGAAAACTTAACTTTTTCAAAAATGGTTGTTTTGTCTGACAGTCCAACACCCAAAGACATTCACCTTACTACCATAGAAGATTGACAAAACTAGATGCTGGATCAGTGGGTTTTATGGTCTTTTTGCTTGATATCACAATGACAGTTATCAAAATTGTTGCTGTATCATTTTTTAAAAACAATGTCAATTTTGACATTTGAGAAAACAATGACTGCAGCGCCACATAAAGAGAGAGAAAGAAAGACAGAGAGAGAGAGAGAAGCGGTAACGACAGAAGGACAGAGACAGAGACAAAGGTGCACAGCAACAACAGTAGCAACAACTAGTGACTGATGGTGATGATGATGATGAACATGAACAAGATGATAACGACGATGGGGGACATGAGCAGTGACTATAGTAACAATAGTAACTGTAGTAATAATAATAATAATAATAATAATAATAATATCAGTGATATTGGCAATGGCAGTCAAGCAGGACCATGGCAGGAGGCTCCACCAGGATCCATGAGAACCTGTGAGACGAGAAAGCACAAGAACTCCGGGGAAGAAGTAAAGTTAAGTAACATGCATTAATGGGACATGAATGAGTGCAGAAAGAGAGAGGAAGAGAGGAACTCAGTGCACCAAGGGAAATCCCCCAATAGTCCAGGCCTATAGCAGCATAACCAAGGGATGGTTCAGGTTCGTTGTGTTTGATATGTCACACAGGCCACTACGGTATCTTTGAGTCCTGACACCTGATACATTTGAAAGTCCTGAGAAACTCTGTTCTCATCTGGACCTGTCTATTGTATCTATTTGGTAACCTTACAGTAGCTTCCTGCTCTGACATGGAAGATGTTGCTGGTTTAACCACAAACCTTTAAGAAATACATACCTATCCAACCCCAACAGTAAATCTAAGACAACAGCCCCAAAAGTTTTCATTTGACAATTAGTAGTTGAATTTATAATTAACAGAGGGGAAAATCGATAAATCATGAACAAGATTTCAAAATATTCTGGTAGGTTTATCTTCACATGCTCATATAATGCTAGTGTGTCTTAGTTCAGACCCACAAAGGTTTCATATTTATGAAAAAATGTTTTAATGGACATGGTATTCGCTTCACTCGCCAGCCCCCAAGAATCTATTAAGTGGCTGGTAAAATCAGAACATTCACAAGCCATTTGGCAGATATAAGTGCTGCAGCAAGAACGTTAAAAAATGTCTTACACACATTCAAGGAGTAAGGAGCAGATTTGGGATAAATGCTGGCCTACAGTCAGTAGAGACTTCCTCATTCCTTACTCCATCCACTGAAATTGAACAACTATGTCACGCCTTCCTAGAAAAAATGTGCTCATTGAACACTACTGAACGGTGCACATCAGAGGGGATTTACTCACTAATCAAACCCTGACTTCCTCCCCTTGTGTGATTTTCCAGCCTTTGTAATTGTCTGCCCCGCCCCTGACTGTTTTCACCTTTGTTCACTTACACCTAGTATAAATAGTCCTTGCCTCCCTTTGTCATGTCAGTTGGTCTTGTTCAGTAGGTAAATGAGTATTGTCAAGTGTTCCAGTTCAGTGTTCAGGTTATTTCATGTTTCAATTGAAGTTTGAGTTTTGTTTATATTTTGATATCCTCCTTGAGAGCGCCTTTTGTTTGTATTTTGATATCATCAAAATCTTTGACTGTGCTAGAGTCGTGCATTTGGGTCCACCTATATTGTGTCAGAGGTTGTGACAAAGGTAGCGGTTACGTTTAGGGTCAGGTTTACAGAAGAATTCCTCTTTCCCAAGGTATCCTTTGTGTGGATTCCCTGGGTAAAAAGAGTATGTGCTGGCCATTCTTTCTGTTGTTCTCTGAGAGAAATAGTTTGTGCCCTGGTGTATTTAGTAATTGCGTATATTAAAACGGGGGGGAACCTGTTGTTTAGTTTCTCTTTCTGTAGAATCTGAGTAGCTGTGATTTTATGAATCCTTTAAAAGTGTGTTTTGGTTGGAGACTGTTATTGTGTAATAGTGCATGTGTGTCTGTGTCTTTCAAATAAACCTTAGTGTCTAGGTTGTGTGTTTGAGTGAATGTGGGCCCTTTGTAGGTGGTGGTGTCCCAAAAAGTCTATGTGTGGTGTATTTAACTGTGATTCAATTATGGTGAGTGTTTAATACCTCTATGAATTAGTGGAATTCCTCTATGCTATGTGTCCATGTTCCCCATATATCATCTAAGCATCTGTAGTAATGAGCCAGATGTAGGGGTTAGGGTTAGGTAATGTACTATGGCAACAGTGGTTTGGGTTGGCATGTATTGGCTAGTTTAAGTTAAAATGGGTTTCCTGTGCAGGGAAACACATGTGATTAAGAGTAAAAGAGAATGGTTGCTGGATATTTGTGTCATGATGATTCAGCAGTTTGCATGTTTCTGATTTTAACCCAGAATGCATCTCTTTACCCTGTCTTTCTGCCTCTGTCTCCACTGTCAAGGACTCTGTGACACACCTAATATGAAACTCCATCAATAAAGCCACATTAACCTCAATTTCACTCAACAATTAGCCAGCAGTGTTAAGCAACTATAGGCAGCAGAGGTTCATTGACCTTAAGCTACCTCAAAGTCAGTCACACATCTTACAGTAACACTGACAAAGATACTGAGATGAATATGATGACGTCTTGTGAGAAACATACTGTACAGTTTCAGATGAAGGTTAATACTTATTATGTGAATGTTATGTTACTACGTGAATATGAAGGTAAAATGAGGGACTGGATACTTTATTACTACTCTATTAAACTCTCTAAAAATAAAAATTCACAAGGGGAATTCCCACACTGCACAGGCAGAATTTCCGGAGAGCAACTCACAAAACAATAGGACAAGCCATATCTCCAGTTCATACACCAGCAAACTCACACACACATATACACACACACACATATATACACACACACCCACACACACACACACACACACACACACACACTCACACACACACTAACAGAAAGTACAAACTCACATGACTTCTGAGTTACGATAACCTCAAGACGTTTACCGTAAATCTGAACCCTTTGTTTTGTGGTAAGTCATGAGATAGCAGTTGCCTGGGCAACTACTGTAGAAAACATGACAGATTTTAGAAATGGTTCCCAGAACAGCAAACACGAACATGCAGCTCATCATCATCAACAACAAGATCATACATTAACACCCAGTTTTGACATGCCCAAATATGGTCATAAAAATGCTTCAGAAAAGAAAACCAACTAATGCCTACCAGCAACCCTTTGAACCTGTTTGATCCTGTTTGATCCTGTTCAACAGGTTGAATTTAAATGTATTTATCTATTTAAGAATGATCACAATTTCACAACTTCCTCCACATGTTTAACTATTAGACATTAAATATGTTAGGGCACTTCAGTTTGGTAAGGGTCAAGATAGATACATATAATATGAGTAAATATTTCTTAATAGTCCAGGCTGGTGA